AAGTACCTAATAAAAATATTAAACGTTTGCACACTTTAGGATTTCACGCAGGTTGTGATAGATGACATTTATCAATCAACAATACCATCAAAGTTACACATAGCAGGTTCAAGTACTACTGATGGTAATGATATCTAATCGCAAAAAAAAGACAGAAAATATTTTGTCCCTTTGAATGTATCATACTGTTACTTATGGTTAATTTAGAAAAAAAAAATTGAAGATGAATTAACTCCTAAAAATCGATAATTTTTTATTGCATAATGGGGTTCCTAATTATTGGAATATGACTAATGCAAACCCCGAAAGAAAAGTTTATAATAATTTGACTATACGCATCATAAATTTAAATACCTAACCAAGACTCCAAACAGGTGATTATGGATATGTCAGTATATAATTTATATATTTAATCGTTGATATCAATAAATTGTATAATTATATAATAGACTTTGGTGTAGCATTTGTTAAACACTCGAATTCGTAATCATCGTAGAAATATCTTGTTTCTTCCCATTCATAAAAAGCTATTATCTCATTTAAGGAAGAATTTTGATATTTAGTTCATTCATTATATATTATTTGTATGTTTATATACTAATAATGCATTTTCAATAAAATATTACCTTTTATATAATATCTTTTTTTATAATAACATCTTTTTAAAACCCTATGGAGGTAAATGAATTTCAATTTGGTAACTCTCTTAACTAAGTTTTTCCATAGTTTTGCTAAAATTTCTACTGAAGTTTTTATCGTAACAAATTATTTACGAAAATTTAAGAAGTTATCAATGCTTCTCACTCATCAATCAATCATTGAGTAAATGTCGTTCTCCACAATTATTTTAATTTACAGCATTGAAGATAAAAAAAACGATATTCAAATTTGTACCTGAAAATAAAAATCCTTAAAGGAACAAACGTATCCCACCGAAAAGTTTGCATTGAAAACGAAGAGAATCGAATTAGGGACGTTATAAAAACTTTCCTTCACTTAGAGAATGAAATAGTAAGTACCTAATATTCATTAGTTGTACAGTGTACATGATATTCTTTCTCCAATTACTTTTTATTGTATATTACTACACTTTTTGTTTGAGCTTCTAAATATACATTTTAAATTAAGCCCTTTAGCATTATTAACTAAATATACCAAAGGTCTTAGTACTACAAAGTAGTACAATACTACATTTAGAGGAATTTAATATGTTCACAAGGTCCACGCCGTTTGTAGTCTCCGATGCTGGATGAGGACTGATGGAAGGACCTCTGAAGAAACTCGCCACTCATGAAGTAAGTAACTACAATCAATGACGGTCTTTAAACCATAATCAGTACAGCGTTAGTTCAAAATTACTAGGAATTTTTGGATTGATGAGCCATTATAAGAAGGAAGCACTCAGTATTATCAAATTATCTGTAACTGAACTTAAAAATAAAAAGACCAATTTTTTTTATCTCAGGCTCTAAATTATTTTAAAAGTTGGACACCCCTATAAAAAAACAACAATCATAGACAAATTCTACATCTATACACAGATAACCCTTCATTAACCCCCCGGCTATGGTTCAGCTGAGAAGGAGTTGTGGAGATCAGGAATTGCGACTATGTTAAGCTGAGAAGGAGCTTTGGATGTCAGGAACCGCAGCTGTGTTAAATACTCAAAGCAGATTGTAACTAGTTCGATATGCACAAGATTGAAGATCCAACAAAATGTTTCATGCTACAAGGTCTTTATTTTGAAAGGTACTTGAATTACAATTAAACCACACAGAAGCTGATTCAAGAATATTGTGTCACATATTTCATGTAGTAAGAATTCAGTCTGCTCATCTTATTATCCTCAGCGCTGATTCAGAGGTATTCATCCTGACAATCTATTCGTTTATAGTTCGAAGGTTCTCCTGCAAAAAAATATCTTGTAAGATGCGGTTTGCCTACTAAAATTGCAATACTACCAGCACATTTGGCAATAAAAAAATGTTTGAAGTGAGAGTTTTATACAGTAATTACAGTTTGCACATATTTTTTTTAAATTAACTACTGATGTACATTGATATAAACTGATTTCTTAATTAAACTGATATGCACGTCAAACCCTTTGCATTTGCATTTGTTACGAGCTCAAGTAGAGAAAAAGCTCATTAAGCAGGATTGCAACCAACTGATTATAGTTTATTTGACTTTGAAAAGATTAATGGTGACTTATGCCTACAACAAATGACTAAGTCGGCTTTGACAACGTCATTAATTCAATCTTGTATAAGTACGTTAAACCTACTTGCTTATATTTCCGTTTGATTTCGCAATTTTTCGTTTATATGTTTTTATTAATAAAAAAATGAGTTATTATTATTGCTTTTTAGTTTATTAAATAACCAATCAGCACTTTCATCATTAGAACAAGTTATAAATTATGATGGAAATAATCATTAGAATGACTTCATGGCAAGTCCATCGATTGTATAAATAAGAATAAAATGCATGCTGAACATTCATTATGATTACACTACAGTTGGACCACAAAGATATTTGCTAGCGGTGGACAATCCAGACTGGGAATGAGAGGTCGAAGTTGTCATATAAAAACAAAATTAACAGTTGGAAGAAATTTACTAACTTATAAATTTATAAAAGCCCTGAATATTCCAGACTGGGCCTCCTTACTTCAAAAAGAGGACTTCCAAATAGAGGGATTCACATAAATGAGGTCTTGAAATATATGGAACTGGAGGAGTACTAGAAAACCAGTAAATGTAATCAAGGCCAACAGCCAAATTTCTCAATAGGATTTCCAAAAGCTTCTAAAAGTTACTATACGGAATGTTCAAATTATCCTTCCCAATTTATGATCAAGGATGTTCACATTTCTAAAAAATTCTTCACTTCACAGAAATGATGGAGTCATATCCTCTGGTAAAAGACACCGTAATCTAAAAAACCTAAAGGGCTTAATAATACAAAATATCAATTAATTAAAAAAACCTTAAAATTCAGGTTTCGTAGAAAATAAACTTCGGTAAAGGTATTGGGATTAGTCAGTTATTAGTAAAACTCTCAAAATTCAAAAACTTAAAATTTATCAGATACCAAATCAACACTAAATAAAACGAAATGTTTATGAATTATAAATAATCAATTGTTTAATGGCAAAATTACTACATTAAAATGGAAAAAGCATCTCAATAAACCTCAAAAAACCTTATCTCAGATAAAGGTAGATCTCTATTACCAATATAAAAATGGAGTCACTCACGAACAACTCAAGAAGTATCAAATCGGACCACACATGGACATTCACAGAGCAGAGAATGATCATTACAAGTAAACAAGGTCGACTACAATTACGTTAGCAATATTATGAGATGCATGAGACAAACACGCAACATGTCACAAACAAGTACTATAAAGTAATGGAATTAGCAGTAAGGAAAAAACGTTGCACTATAAAACCTAAACATTTAAGAGGACATCTTCGTGTACTGCCTACTGAAATATTTTGCTTTAGTAGATATTTAGGTTTACTTATTGATTTAATACCTGATACTCATTGTTCCTGAGAACGTGTTTTTTGAACTGATGCTGTTCTGATTCGGGCTCTTGGAAGCAACTGCAACGGATGACGGCCTCTAGAGCAGAATCAGAACAGCATCAGTTCACCTACTGATCGTCAAAGCCCTTACCAATTTTTCAGACGTGTTTTTTTTAACCCAAGAATTACTTACTGCAGGTTTTTGCCCTCATATTCATGCGTATGAGCGTACCGAAAGTAAATGTGACAAAAAAATCACTACCGAAGTTTCCTGATTCCCATCCTTACCTTGCAAGATGTAAATAAGATGAAATTTTTGTTTCTCCAAGGTAGCTTTCGTTTCTGTTTTTGTTATGTTTACTTTTTGTTCGCTTATGTATAACAAGTAGAAATAAACAGTTAAAATTAGAGTAATAAGACATTTTTATTTGCCTCTATAAGCGACTAGCGATAATTACTACAATTTGTAGAGAAAAGAAACTACTCGAAATTAGAGAAGTAGGTGGCAATATTTCAGTAGGAATAGCTACACTTTTTTATTTTTCATTTTCATTAATTTTCTTATATTGTTTTGACTTAAAACTAAAATTTTACTGCAAAATTATGTTTTTTATGATAAATTGTAGTTTTGTATTTAACAACATGTAGGAACAATTTTTCCATTTTTTAAAACAAACACAAAACCTACAAATGTAACAAAACTAACTTATTTGCCATTCTGCTACAATTTGTAATTATTGACAACACTACAAACATCTTTTGCCCCTATTTGTGATATATTTTTTGTTACATTCTTCACAATTGTAGAACATACCTCTACATATTTTTCTGCGTGAATCCTTTGAAATCAAACCAGCCCACGGAAGATTTAAAGGCCAATACAAATTATACATTTCCATGTTTTGAATTTTCAGTTTTCGATTTTCATAATACTACTTTCGACGCATTAATTAGATACTTAACTAAAATGAACACAGATATAAATTATTCTAACAATACGTTGAGTACCGAACACATACAAATAAATTTTCATGAAATAAGAGATAACGTTCGTTACTTGTAAAATCTCAGTTAATTTACACAACGTGTGCTGTTTTTGACAAGGAACAGATCATAGCAGGTATTTACGGCGCAGATTTTGCTGATGTGCAATATGTTTACTCTGACAATTTAAATTGCGCTGTAATAAGTGTTGGGAATAATCGAATTATTTTCACAATCGAATAATTAGTAATAATTCATATTTCAAAATCGATTTAATAATTCGAATTATTTAGTAGAATTATCAATTTAAACTAAATTAAAATTATACCTATATAAATTCGTCCCAGTTAGGTATTAGCTATTATTAAACAATTCGCAGAAATCGGAATCATAGCCATATATTCTTTTAATTGTGCCGAAGCCGTCTAATAAATTAAACCATAATTTATATGTAGTTTTAAATTTAAAAGTGCCGAGTTATGATTGTTATTATTATTAAAAACATTTCATTTCAGTTCCTATTGAAAACCTTCTCTCTGAAATAAAAGCTTCTTCCAAAACTTTTAAAAAAGGGATTTATTCACTAATAAGCTATAGCTATACGTGTGTCCTTGTTTACGTGCGGTTCGTATTTATTTTTATTATACCGGTAGCAATTATTTAGATAAAAGAAGAAAATTAATTTTGGTGTTCGGTGAAATGAACCAAATAATATTCGTCAATAAGAGGTTAAGTCCAGGCTAGATAAATGAAAATTCTTACACTTGAGGTTACAGGGTAACTCTCTTCATAAATTGTTACACAATTAAAAAGATAAGAGTCTTTTGAAGTTTGATTTTTAATGGTCGATATAGATACAAAAATTGGCCAATCATGTCACAACCTAAATCATTGTCTTCATCTGAAAATAACACTATATAAGTAAGTAAGTATCGACTGGAACAATTTAAGAATCAAACTTAAATGTATGAGTATGAGCATTATGGCTCTCGCGACCTCGAGTACCGCGACTCTGTACCAGTGCCGTCGGCGTCAGTGCTGCGACGCTGCCCACTCTCCCCATCAGCACCACCACTATCACCTACGTGGTGTCTTTGTATTTCTCCCCGTGCTGCTTCTTCTAGTTCTGCAGGTTCTGCTTCAGCAAATGGAAATCGCAATGGCCATCCATTTATTACCCTGCACGGAAATGGTGAATGCGCCTGAGATGGCACTTGCCCGAAGAATAATTGAAGACGCCACTCCGCCCGGCTATATACTTATTAATCAAGAACCAGCGGTGCAGACAGGGCGGCACCCTCATCGATGGATAGCGGTATTCACCAGAAATGACAATTATTACAGTTGTGGCTGTAACTACGTAACTGCTACAAGACGAGCATTTCTGAGGTTGCAACCACAGGGAAGTGCTGTCAGCAATGTGCAAATATCTAATTTTCCTAATC